TTTATCACCTCTATTTGTTCCCTGAGTGGTAGCTCAAGAGAAAGTGAGAGTTTGGGGAGCACCTGGGGAAGGAGCAAGAGGCCGACAGTAGATCTGTGTGGCTTCCGTTTCAAAGGTGCCTGCTTTCTCTTAATGCTAAGTTGTTTTCCTGTTTACAAGTCCCAGTGGTTCTGGGCCTTTTTTGGCTCTTATTACCAAGGAGTTAACCCAGCATGTCAAAGAGGAGAAGATCAAAGTGAAAGAAAGGTATTTGAAGGAGTCTAATTGCTCCCCAAGATACATTATCTACTCTAGATAGACTCCCCAGCAACTCAAGATGGGAAACCCTACAAACAGGCCCCAATTTTTGAAAGCCAAAGCCACAAACTGGAAAAGGAGATGCAGCTACTTCCTAGATCTGGCTACTTTTGACTGAGTCCCTAATACAAGTTGACACTGTGCTGGGTACTTTTTGCATGTTGATTTCATAGAAATTTCCTGATGTAAGTATGCCCATTTTATGGATATGTAAACCAAGGGATAGATGGGTGAAGCGACTTGACTCAAATCACACAGCATGTGAGAGAAATTCCAAGCCTGTCCATCTGATAATTTGGTGTAAAAAGAAAAACAGATCTGCCAGGTCTCATCCAGGGCTTTAGGTGAGATTTATACACATTTTCACCCTCTTCAATCTGTAGGTATATGATTGACAAATAGAGATGCAGAAAGGAATGGAAATGTTCTGCAGAAAGATGAAGATAGAGCCATTTCTTTTCTCTCCATCTTTGTAGACTGCTGACAGAGGAAACAGACGGATTCACATCCAGGCTCTGTCCGCTGAGAACCTGTGGGACTTTAGATCAAGTCATTTTAACTCTGTGAAACTCAGATTCCTCTCTTGTGAAGTACGGGAGATGATACACACTTCTCAGGGTAGTTGTGAGGGCAAAACATGCAGGCACAAGGGAAGTGACCAGCATCATCAAGGAAGCACCCAGGCAGAGTCAAATTTCTTCCTACCTCCACATGCTCCCCAGCCCAGAAAGCCAAGACTGAGATCTTTGGAAAATCATGTCTAATAAGAATGAAGTCTGCCGAGCGCTTAACTGTATACCAAGTCCAGTTTCAAGTGCCTTCCACATACAAGTTCTCTTAGCATTTACATCACTCTGTGAGATAAGTACTTGTGCCAACATCACTTTGTATAGGAGGAAGGTGAATGAATGAAGTCCAGAGAAGTCAACTAACTTGCTGGCCCAAAGTCACACAGTCAGTGAGGGGCAGATCCCACTTACGTAACCTGGCTACTAGAACTGAGTTCTAACCATTACAGTATTCTAGTTCCCAGGTAGGACTACAGATAGTAGGGCAAAGCCTTGTTAATATGTGGACTCCTAGCTTTACATTAAAACCCAGCCCTCACTCTTACAGCAATGCTGAGTGGAGAAAATGTGGGCACTCTGTTTTGAGGGCTGTGGGTACTAGGAAGTGGGGCTGCAGAAGGGAAGGAAAGAAAGATTCTTGGAAGTAACCAGCACACTCAACCCAGTCCAACCATTAGAACAAAAGAAAAAGGCCAGCAAGCAGAGGTGCTGGGATTCAGATAAATCCCTTTCTTCTTCTGAGCAGGAATTCCAAATCACTAAGGGAAGGGGAGTGTGATGGGGTGGGAGCAGGGCAGTAGTTGTGGGGTTCACATTTCACTTATCTAACAGGTCAGGAGAAACTTTAACAAGATTAACTGCTGCTCAAGGCCTCTGCTCAATGGAGCAAAATGAGACTTTTGTTTTCCTTTTCTTTCAGACTGGAGGGGTGTTGCCGGGGAGCAGTTGGGGATGAGGAGCAGGGGTCCGGTTCCTTCTGCCTGGTGTGGTACAAAAGCAAAGGGATGTGTCAGAAACAACCCCCCATCCCCTGACTTGAAAGGGAGCCCAAATTGCTATGCATGAAGGCTGAAGGAAGATTGTGTCTGGAGGGTGGGTCTGTGTGGGGTGAGAGGTGACGGTGTTTATGAGACACATTCTCTTGGAGGTGCAGGGGGCAAGGCCTGGAAGTCAGATGTCAGGGATTAAATCCTAGTTCCTGCCGCTGGGGAACTGTGTCATTCAGCACACACCCCTCCCCTCTCTGTGTCTCTTTCTCCCCATTCAGCCAAAAGGGAACCTGGCTCGGGTAACCTCAGAGGACCCTTCTCACAGTAGCCTTCAAGGATTCTTCAATCCTAAAGACCATCCACCGTGGACCCTCCAGAGAATCCTACACATAGGCACTTTCTAACTTTGGCTTTGTTTTTGCCTTCATAAGCTTTTTTTTTTTTTTTTTAATGTATTAAAATATTTTTTTTCTCCTTTCCTTTCAGAAAAATAAAAGGCATGTTTTCTGAGCTTCAGAAGCAAACTGCTCCTTCGCTCCTTCCTCCTGTCTCTCTGAGCGCCTGTCTGAACTGGTGTCAGTGAAGTTTGAACCGGGGCAGAAATAGCATCCCGGGCGGATCTGGGAGCATAGCCCGCCTACCAGGAGCGGCAAGGCCTGCCTCTGCCAGACGACAGACCCGGTTAACAGCGCCGTAAAATTAGACCTTCACGAAACCCAATTGAATCCTGCAGCAGAGAGTGAGGTAAGGCAGCCTGGCCTGACAGCGAGGCAGCAGCGCTCTGCCTGAAATAGCAGCGAGGTCCCTGCTGAGCGATGGCTGCTCTCTCAAGATAGGTGACCAGGGATTCCTAGGAAAGTGGCAACGCCCAGCCACAGAAAGCCAGCAGAGGGTCAGGCAGCAAACTGGGCACCTGAGGTCGCAGCGAGAGAGTGAGCCTTAGCACCGGATCCTTGCTGCCCACCTGGGTCCTGCCTCTCCCAGCCCAAACTTACACGAACGAGGGAGCTGAGAAAGTACTTCTGCAAAGAACCTGTTTGTTTGCTTTTTAATTCAAGGAGAAGCAGGTTCTTTTTAGTCCAACAGCCTGCACCATGTGGAGGATATGCAGAATGAGTCTTTTCTGGCTCGGAGCCAGGTGTTTACACACCACCAAATCTGGCTCGAACTCAACTAGGGGAGGGAAAAGAAATCCACCAGAATCCTCAGGAGAAAAGCTCCTGGTTTCTGGTGCTACACGACAGCAGTGCTTCCTTTTTTTTTCATTTTGAGAGGAATGTTATTTCCACACATAAAACGGACCAGGCATTTTATACAAGCAATAATAACCTAACGTAGACCATCCAATTAAAGTATTTGACTGCAACAATCTTTGTGTGAGAGAGTCCTTGTCTGAATTATAGACATTTATAAAGCAGTCTCCTATGGAATCCCAGGTGTTTAATATATATGTATATACATGTATTTATGTAGACACACTTACATCGTTAAAATGCATTCACTACCCTTTTACAGATGATACCTGCATAACCCTGTGCTCTCCTCTCTCCGGGGAATGCCTTCCAAATCACAGGTAAAGACTAGGAAAAACCAGACCTACAGATTTAAAAAAACAAAAACAAAAACACCTCCAAGCAGTAGTCTCTGTGCTTTTTCCAGTATGGAAAGAGAAGTCAACATACTACACCCCTAAATTATCACCATCGTCATTATTATTAAGAATAACGTCTCCTCTACTCCAAATTAGACCCTCCTCTGGGCAAATAGGGCTTGCGAGTTAAAAGTGAATGAGTTCAGTTTCCTTTTTCTTCCCGGGGAAAAAAGAGGAAAAATACATGCGATGACGTCAGTTGTGGGTTGTTGGGGGAATCGCTGTTTCTCTCTCCTCTGATAGCGGGAAAGCGGGGGCTTTGGAGCACGTATCCTTGAGGATAGCAGCAGAGTGTGGATCTCCTAAAGGGGTCTTCAGGTCAATCGGATAATCAGTGCTACATTTGCGAATGTCCAAGCCATGGAAAGACAGGAAGAATCAGAACTGCCCGAAGAGTTCAGAGCTTTCCCTTCTAAGTGTGTGTGTGTGTGTGTGTGTGTGTGTGTTATCGCAAAACGCCTTCACACGTTTCCTGGCTGCAGCGAAGGGGGAACCCCTACTCCCCCTTTAAGAAGTCCCAGGACATGGCAAGATTGTTTGTGCAGGAAGGGAATCTCCCAGACAGAAAAGGCAAAACTTTCCTTCTCTCCTCCAGCGCCGCCCCCGACTCCGCTCCCCCGTGTTATTAAAGGCATTTCCACAGATTCATTTAGAGGGGGAAACGGATGCTGGAGTATTTCTAAGGTTTGCAATCCTCGCAAAGTGTCTGGTTTCACTATAGGCTTTGCTGTGGCAGAGCGAAAGGGAGAGAGAGAGGGAGGCTGAGGAGGGAGAACTCAAATTCATTACGGGCTCCTAAAGTCTCACAGGAGAAAAGAGCCCCGTTTCGCAGCCGCGTCTGAGGAACGCTGGCGGCGGGTGCGTTAGGAAGGTCCCGTCCCAGCCCGGAGTGTCAGGCAACGGGCTTTAAAAGCTAGGACATGGGATGCCGTGGAGGAGGTGAGGGTGAGTCCCAGAGGCAGGCTTAAATCAGGGAGCAACTTTGGGGCACTTCCAGGACTTCTAAGTCCTGGCGATCACAGCAACCGTGCCCTCGGCGGCTTTCTTGGGAATGGGGCCGAATGAAGGGGAGTGACTCCCATTAAAACGTCTAAGAAATCAACGGTCCCCAAGTCTCCCTGCACACGCATCTCAATTGGGTCATCTTCCCTTTCATCCCAAACGGAGGGCGTATATCTGGCCATTCGGAGCACGGGTTACACGCCCTAGGCTCTCCGGGAGCCAGCCCTTCCTGACCGAGGGTCGCGGGTCCGCCAGGAGAGCTCCGCAGGTTCCTCCCGGCGGTCGGGCAGCGCCGCCTTCCTCGCGCGCCCATTCCGCCGACGGGGCAAAGTGAGGCTCTCCGCTCGCTCGGAGGTCTCCGCGCCGCTGGCGGGACGCCTCCCGCACAGACACCCCGCAAGCCCCGGACCCGCCCGCCACCCGCGCCTGGACACCCGCGCGCCTCTGCGGCCGCAGGGAGAGTGCAGCGCCCACCGGGGCGCCCTCGCCTACCTGTGATCACCGCCGGGGACCTCTGGCCCCCCTCCGCTCGCAGCCACACTTGCAGCGTGAACGCGTCCCGGGGCAGCTCGAGGTCGGCCCGCAGGCGCAGCTGCTCGCCTCGCCCGCTGAAATAGAGCGCCCGGCTCGGCGGGCTCGGCTCCTCGGCGGCGTCCCTCGCCTCCCGCTGCTGCCGCCGCCGGGGGACGCGCACGGCTTCCCAGGCACCGCCCGGCGGCGGCAGCGGCGGCGGCAGCGAGGCGCGGCGGCCACGGGCCGCTCGGGTGGCGCAGGTGGCCGGGCCGGCGGCGGGGCGCGGGGGTCGGCCGGCCCGCGGGTCTCTCCGGACCCGGCGGGGACGCTCCGCCAGCCCGCAGCCCAGCGCGGCGCTCAACAGCCCCAGGTGCAGCACCCAACTCCAAAGCCGCATGTCCGACGGTCCCCCCCGCCCCCCCTTTGCCCCTGCTCCGCCGCCGGGAGCTGCCAGCTTTGGGAGCCTCGGCGCCTCGACTTTCTTCGCTTCTTCACCCTTCTTGGGCGAGCCCCCCCTTCCACTTGCTTTTTTTCTTTTCTTTCTCGCTTTCCTCCTCAAGGTGTGTGCTCCACTCTCCCACCTTTGAAAAATACAGTCCAACTCCTTCTGGTTGGCAATTAATTTCTCTCCCCGCTCCTTTATCTGCCTTATCCCCCCCGCAACAGCTGGTTGCCTTCCTCCTTGTTTTATTTCATTTTATTTTATATGATTTCTCGCTCCTAAAAAAAAGCTCCTCTAAGACTGATCCACTGAATTCCCTCCCCTCAAAAGATGCTCTAATTTATTTATTTTTTGCGTCCTTTATAACATAAGCCACAGCCCCCTTCTCCCCCCCCCTCAGTCCCCCCTCCCCTCCCTCCTTCACAAAATGAAAGGAAAGAGGGGGAAAAAATCCCTCAGAAGATGAGTAAACAAGCGTATGCTAATCTGCTCCCCAGCGCTCCACCTTCCCAATTGAATGAGTCCCTGTTAAAACTGCGGGGATCATGACTAATCAATCAGTTTGGAGAGGCCGAGCTACCCAGCTTTCCTTCACTTTGCCGTTTGCCTCCTTTCCTTCGCTCCCGCTTCTCCACCCCCTCCTTTTCTCCTTTTTTTTTTTTTTTAAGAAGACAATCTTAAAGTAACAATTTAATGAAATTCTGCACACACCCCCTTACGATCCTCCCAGCTCTCCTCATTCCTGCTCAAAACACACATTCCTGTTTTTGTTTTGTTTTGCTGGTTTTTCTGCCCCTCCCTCACTCCACCCTCATCATTATTATTATTATTATTTCTGATGGCAGGAGAAAAACATCTATCTCTACTTTCAGGATTCCCTTTGCACTTTGCTGGTAAACCTCATCCTTTTCTATAGCACATAAAGAGTCTTGAAACTTGATTTTTAGATTTTTAAAAAAAATTCTCTCTCTCTCTTGTCTCTCCCTCCCTCCCTTTCCCTCTCTCTTTTTCTCACTCCCTCACTCTCTTCTACCTCCTTCCTCTCTCCTCTCCCTTTCTCTCCTTTTACCTCTTTCCCTCTTCTTTCCCCCTCCTTTTTTTTTTTTTTTTTTTTTTGCTTCCCCTGTCGTTTTCCCTCTCAGAATTTCCTTAAAGTTGTACCATGATGAACCATCCCCCTATTTTCTGAGCCCCCAGATAAGGCTGGCTTCAGCTAATCCAAATGTTTTCAAAGTCCTTATGGAATCATCAGAGGAAAATAGAAGAAAGGCACTGTCCAGGACATCCGCCTTTCAGAAGCTGTAGTCCCAGTACAACTGGGTCTCTGAATTCCCCTGAATACTCTTTAAAATATTCTGTTGGTCATTAGAACTTATTTTAATTTTATAGGAAGAAAATGATAGAAAAATATTAATTTGCTTAATTTTTTCCAACCTAAGCAATTCAGGTCCTCTGACATTGTTAAAGTCCCAGGTAAGGATCTGACCATTTGCCACTTTGTAGGTCTGTTTTTGAACTGGAACATAACGTGTAATATATTTTTTTCTTCTTTTTTCCCCCTCTTTATAGAACTCAAAAGCTCCCCCTTATGGCAAAACAGATCTTCTTTTATTTTGTCCAAGTGCTTAATAAGTCAAAACGTGTTAGCAGTGGTGGATTACAAACTATTAATTACCAATTTATTCCAAAAAGGTAGTGATAAAAATCTGCTGGGTGAAGTTTGCATGTGAATAGCATGCTGAAAGCCTGTGATGAAATTAACTCCACTAAATTGTGACTTTCTTCCCCATGTGCTCTTATCTTCAGGGCTTTTCCAGATCTTTCTTGAGAGCTGGGAACATTGCTGCATGCCTCAGGAAGAGATAAAACTAGGAAAGAATATTTGTTGGTGAAAGTATGACGATTTGTCGGATGAGCAAATGACTCAGACATCCCCTTTATGAAAGCCAGAATGTGATATATGCAACGATTATGGAACCTTTCTGAAAATGGTAGATCTCAGATTCATAGGTTCCTAGTTTAGAAAGAAGTTTCTGTATAGTCTTAGGCTAAGAATGTTTGAACTCTGTTTCTGCAGTCATAAAATGAAAATAGCACTATATCCTAAATGTGTTTTCAGAGACTGGCTGGAGGAAAGGAAATCTTGGTGCACAATGTCATGAATAAGGAATTTGCCTAAGCAAATCTTTGACTTTTTGCAACTCCAAGTCATCTGTAAAAGGTTGCCATTGGATAAAAAGAGAGCAGTATTAAACAACATAAATTATATCATTCGAAATCCCCCTTCCTCTCCAATAGAGGCTGGACCATGACTACTGATTTACTTCAGTGTGGCAATTAGGATTTAGAAACTGCATGTCTTCTAGGGGGATTTTAAGTCATCGTATACATAATTTTGAATATTTCTGGACAACTGGGAATTGGTCAATTCTCAGACCAGCAGTGGGAGCACAAGATTTTTAGTTCTCATTTTCTACTCCCTCCAACACATATCAGTTCTCTGTCCTTGAGTAAGTCCCTTCATTTCTCTCCCCTTCCACTTCCTTACCTTTAAAATGGGAATGTCTCCTTGGCAAATTTTTTTTTTTGAGGACAAGATATGCTCTGGAGTATAACATTTTGTAAACAATAGAAATGATCTATAAATACCATTTGTTCTATTGTTGATGTCAGGGATGAAGTGTTCATCAGATTCTTAAAGACAAACTGGAATTGAGGAGGCCAAGTTATTTCTCTCCTCTAGTAGGCAGGAAAACAAAGGGACAATGAAGTTCATGTCTTCCAGCTCCGTGAGCTCCTTGATCTGTGTCCCCAAGTGCATTGAAATCATTTGGCAAGGCTTTTCACTCATCCATTCATTGAACATATATTTACTATTTGTTTCCATCTGTGAAAACTCTTTATGCATATTTGTGTGTGTGTGTATGTATGTATGTATGTATGTATCTGCTTGTGTTTTATTGAGTGCATGAAATTTAACTCTTGGTTCAGGACCCACCCTAACCCTTGATCCAAGACTGACATTCGTATATATGTATATATATAAGACCTTCAACTATACACTCACACACACACACACACACACGTGTGTGTGTGTATATATATGTTGTACCATGTGTTGCCATCCTTTTTTTACTGTAACACTTGATCTTTTTTTTTTTAATTTTTTATTGCATTTTAGGTTTTGGGGTACATGTGCAGAACATGCAAGACAGTTGCATAGGTACACACATGGCAGTGTGTTTTGCTTCCTTTCTCCCCTTCACCCACATTTGGCATTTCTCCCCAGGCTATCCCTCCCCAGCTCCCCCTCCCGCTGGCCCTCCCCTTTCCCCCCCAATAGTCCCCAGTGTTTAGTACTCCCCTCCCTGTGTCCATGTGTTCTCATTTTTCATCACCCGCCTATGAGTGAGAATATGCGGTGTTTCATTTTCTGTTCTTGTGTCAGTTTGCTGAGAATGATGTTCTCCAGATTCATCCATGTCCCTACAAACGAAACAAACTCATCATTTCTGATTGCTGCATAATATTCCATGGTGTATATGTGCCGCATTTTCCCAATCCAGTCTATCATCAATGGGCATTTGGGTGGTTGACAGTGTGGCGATTCCTCAAGGCCTTAGAAATAGAAATTCCATTTGACCCAGCAATCCCATTACTGGGTATATATCCAAAGTACTATAAATCGTTCTACTATAAGGACACATGCACACGAATGTTCATTGCAGCACTGTTTACAATAGCAAAGACCTGGAATCAACTCAACACTTGATCTTTTATGGATGTGTTCTCTCTTTTAATCATTTTTAGTAGAAGAGTAATCATTTGAATGTCAGGTGACTCAAGATCTAACTCTGCTTTGTGTAGGATCTTTAGATCTCATTCTCTTCTCATGTAAAATGAAAAAACTGGAATCAAATATTCCTAGGATCATTTCCAGATTTAAAGCATAATAGAGCCCCTAATTATTGGAGTAAGGCAACAATTCCCATCTAGTCATCCCATATTCAGTTAGTTTCCTTCCATCCAGCCCTACTCCCCAGGGACTCCCTTAAGTTTCTGGGTATTTTTGTCCTGAAAGGTACTTTGACTCTATGTCTTCACTCTTTTAATATATTCCTTCAGGATTCATTTTGTTTGGTAATTACTAAAAGCATTTTTCCTTGAAGGACATAAGATTCTACTGGAAGTTAGAAGAGTAACATCAAAGTAGAGTCCTAAAGATTGAGACTGATTTGAATGAGTGAGGTTGGTTCAAAATATGTTTCAGAGTCACCCTGACCTGGGTTCCTATGACTCTCAGCAAGTTGTTTAATTTCTCTGAGTCTCTGTGACCTTACCATGGGGTTGTCATGAGGGTTAGATTAGAGTGTTGCATGACATAGTAGGTGCTCAATAAATAAGTACCCCCCCTTTTTTCCCCACAGTTCTAAATTTTAATGGTCATTTGAGCTTTTTTTCCTCAGCTTTTCTCTGGAGCCAGAGCCCTATGTACTTCTTATGACAAGCCAGATGGATCATTCTCATCTTAGAATTCCTAAAGCAAGCATCATCTGTCTCACAGAATCTGGAGCTCACTGAGATAGGATCTCTCATTGTTCTTAGTGTAGTGTCCTGCTTATGTCTTTCCTCCAAGATTAGAACCCTTCAAGGGTGAGAATCTTTAAAGGCACGAATCTTCAAGGGCCAGTTCTTTCTTTCACCTGCTGAGAATCTTCAACTAACTGCACCCCTCCCTGAGCAGCCCAAAGGGCTCCCTCCTCTGGGCTCTTGTAGAACTTCCTCGGAATTCCTATCAGCACATCCTCAAAGCAAACTCTCAGGCATAATTACATATTGGCATGCTTCTTTTTTTCATTTGGGTCAGAGACTGTTGCGTTCATATTTGTTCCTTCCCAACTGCCTAGCTCAGTGCTATGCATAAAGATGTTTGTCCACAATTCCTGTTGAATTTAAGGATATATATTTATATATGTTGTATCGCTTCCTTTTACAACATGTGTTGCCAATCATGGTGTTATGAGTCTATTAGTTTCTTGATAAATAGTCACCTTAATTTCTTTGTTTTATTTGTCTCAGTTTACCCAGATGATGCATCTGTGAACACCCTGACAGATATAGTTCATCAGCTGCTCAAGTGAAGGTCCCTAAAAAGAATGTAGACTTTGGAGTATAATAAATTGGGTTCAAATCCTATCTTTGCTGAATAACAATTCTAATAACAGCTTACGTTTATTGAGTATGCACTGTGTTCCAAGCAATATGTAAGTGCTTTTTATTGGAACAATCCCATCTAATCTTTATAACAGACTTACAGAGTAGATCTAATAATCATCCCATTTTACAGGAGG